TCCTCCTCTCCCCCTCCTCGGAATCGCACCCCCCTCCTTCCTGATAGCCTTGATCTCCCACATCACTCTCCTCCTCGTAGATATATTCCATCACACATTCATCACCAATTTCTCATCCAGGGAATTTTACTGGAAATGTAGATTGTATCTTGCATTAGCAACTGTCCAATTAATTCTATTTTTCTCTCCATTAAATAGTATGTTAAAAAGACAGAGTATCTCCATGATGCCTTTTGAAGATCACTAGGGATACTGTATCAGAGTATTTTCAACCAGAGCTGAGATTTGGATAGTATGATCCAGAGAAAAGATGCAGCTGCTTTAAGGAGTTGAAGACAGGGCTACATTCTCACCCCTGTCCACTATGAAACACTTTTTTAGAATCAGCTGCAAAGTCCTGTAATGCCTTATTTGTAATTCCAATTAAAATTGCATGCATGCATACACCCAACTACATGAGTTCAACCTGTAGTTGTGTATTTTTCATGTATCAAAAGGTTTTCTGTTCTTTTTTCACTAACAATATAAGTATGTATATATGTATGTGTGTGTGTGTACATATATATATTCCAAAAATGTACATCCTTCTCAAATGTTTTATTTCCATTCAATTAAAATATCTCAGATGATCAGACTTCCTTTCTTTATAAGTTTATTCTTCAATTTACTACATGATCAGCAGTATACAGAAGAATTAAATGAAAACAAAATTAGGCTAACGTTGAGTGCTTTTGAAAAATAACTTTATTTTCAAAAAACATTCCCTAGTTTTTCCTTGTTCATGGTTTTGCTATCAAAGAAATAGCAAATATTATGCTGGGAGTAAAGCACATGTATGTCCATTAAAAGAAAACAGTCTTTTTTGGGACATACCACTGCATGAATTTATTAAAACAAAAAACAAGAGGGAATTGTATTAGTAGAAATGGATGTAATTTAGAGCTGCACAATTAGTGATCCACCAAGCCCAGTACATAATTTGCAACATCTCGAATGCTTGATAACCCCTCCTCAATTTTGCAGCTCCAAGCAATTTACTGAATTCCTCATGGGTCACTTTTATGCATATGCGTCTGCTAACTCTACTGGTGTCTCTGTCTGCAGCATTTAGGATTTCAAAGCTATATCAAGAGAAAATGCCTCAAGGATTCCTTGTAAGGAATAAAGTGCTTGGAAAATATGCTCTTCAGGAAACAAATGCATCAGAAATGAGTATGGTGAAGAAGTTCACATCCGCTCCAAAGCTTCAAGGTTTCCATGAAGGACAAAACAAAGTAATTTCTCACCTTGCGGGTTAATCTTCTCTTGATCTCTCGTTTTTCTTCCTGCTCTTCTTGCTCATTCCGTGCTAGAAAAGATTGACAAAGTTCTAAACTTGCATGCATTTAAAAAATGGCAAGGGGTGATTAGTGCCCCTTGCTCACTTGGACACAAATTTCTATACACCTCAAAAACATCCAAATCCTTTACTCTCTAGTTATATGTCAGCATGCCTTTGACTTATTCACAGACTTGGGTTAAGCAATCATGTAGGAAGCCAAGATGTCATCAACCTCTGCACCAAGATCTGTCAGCTACAGATAAAAGTACAGAATAATCCTGACAGAGCAAGCAATTCAGAGCTCAGCTTGGTATCTTGCTTCTATGGAAGAGTTTCTAGAATGTCCCAAAGACACTATAGGCACTATACAAAAATATAATGGAGCTTCCATGCACATCCCATGAATTTCAACTTTCCAGGAAATGAGATTCAACATACTGCTTTATCTACAGCACTTCCTGGACTCATCATAACAATATTTCATTATATGCAGTTGCACATATCATTTAGGAAGATACTGTTTGGTTATACATTGTTATAGCCAAAGCAACCATTTTATTCTGGGTGGTGTGGGTCTTCCGGGCTGTGTGGCCATGTTTTGGAAGTTTTGTTTCCTAAC